AAGTCTATAGTTGGGTGTTCAACTCTGTGATTAAAGTCAAAGGTATGTGTTCTAAAGCCAATGATTAGGCGCTCCATTAGTCAATCATTATGGTTGCCTAATGAAGTCAAGTGTTGTCTCTTCTATTAGCCATTTAAAGTCAGTGGTTAGAGGTTTCCAATGCCTAATAAAGTCAATATAAAAAGGGCAAAATGATTAAAGAAAATGCAAGTGGTTATTTGTCCCCTTAATCAATGGTTAGAGACTATTCCCTGTGTGAAGTCAATGGTTAGATACTCTTGTCCCTGTGTGAAGTCAATGGATAGAGACTCTATTCCCTGTGTAAAGTCAATGGTTAGAGACTCTTTTCCCTGTGTAACGTCAATGGTTAGACTCTTTTCCCTGTGTAAAGTCAATGGTTAGACTCTTTTCCCTGTGTAAAGTCAATGGTTAGAGACTCTTTTCCCTGTGTAAAGTCAATGGTTAGAGACTCTTTTCCCTGTGTAAAATCAATGGTTAGAGACTCTTTTCCCTGTGTAAAATCAATGGTTAGAGACTCTTTTCCCTGTGTAAAGTCAATGGTTAGAGACTCTTTTCCCTGTGTAAAATCAATGGTTAGAGACTATTCTGTGTAAAGTCAATGGTTCGAGACTCTATTCTCTGTGTAAAGTCAATGGTTCGAGACTCTATTCTCTGTGTAAAGTCAATGGATAGAGACTCTATTCCCTGTGTGAAGTCAATGGATAGGGGTTTAAATCAATAGTTAATGTGTATGTTGAATTTGTAAAGTAAGAAAATGAAAAAGCATAAGGACTTTGTCTATCTTCATCTGTGAAACATGGCGGATTGAGAATTTCTTTAAGTTAGTGATTTTGTAAAATGAGTTCTAACCGCCAACAAAACACTGAATTAGTGAAGATCAAGTTTTTAAACAAAACTCCTGACAGAACCATCTATCCTCTTTTATTAGCAGCAATTACTTTGCTGGTACAAACAAGTGTTTTATGGTAATAACGTGTGCTGCAGGTTATTATAGTTTATTACCTCATTGATTGTGTTCTGGCAAAATCAACACACAATTAAAGTTTCTTTAGTAGCTTTAAGGCTTTGCAGAGGGGGAATTCCTCCACTATATCTTTACATTGGAAATAGTCATAACTGCCACTTTAATGCTCTAAAATGTAACAAAGAGAACAGGAAGAAATGGTAAAATATTAGTTTCTGTAGCTACAAGATAAGACATCTAGCGTTTAAACTCAACCGGTGGGAGGCGCTAGCAGCCGCTGACGATTGTGTGTGTAGCTGTCATATAGATGCAGGAGGTGGAAGGAAAAGAAGAAGAGGAGGAGGAGGAGAGATGAAAAGGACTTTATGTCACTTCAGTCCTCTTCAGCCCTCCCTCCCCTTTTGTCTCCCCCTTCGTCTCCCCTTGGATCTACTCCTCTCTCTCTCTCTCTCTCTCTCTCTCTCTCTCTCTCTCTCTCTCTCTCTCTCTCTCTGCAGGTGCACATAAGAGTCCTCAGATGAGTGTATTCTTTTCAGGACAAGATTGAAAGCACTTCATCTGTAACCTACACAGAGTACTTGTGTGTGTGTGTGTGTGTGCGTGCGAGTGTGTTTTCATGTGTGTGTGTGTGTGCATGGACAAGTGAGGTAAATGTGTGTGTATGCGCCAGATGTGTTTATGTTTGTCACTGCAAAATGTGTGTTTGTTCCAAAAATGAGTGTTTACGAACCGTGTGTGTGTGTGTGTGTGTGTGCGTCAAAGTGTATTTGTGTTTTTTTTTGTGGAGTGCGTGTATTAAAAAAAGTCTTTGTGCATAAAGTGTTTGTAGTTGTGTTTATGTGCCTCTGTGTCCAAACTCTGTGTGTGTGTGTGTGTGTGTGTGTGAGAAGACAAGGCGAACCATTGAGCTGTTTTTGAAGTGAATTAACAAGTCAAATGAGTGCTGCAGCACCCTGCATAGGTTACCACACACACACACACACACACACACACACTCCCACGCTTATCATCACAGCGTCTTTGTTAAGGAAGATGGGGCCAATTAAACTGATATCACTCTCTTGTTGTCGTTTGTGCCTCCTCCCTTGCTCTCTCTCTCTCTCTCTGTGTTCCATCCATCTTATTTTTGCCTTTTCTCTTCTGCCCTTCATCCTTTCCTTCGTCTGGCTCTGTCTTCCTTTCCTTTCTCCTCACATCCTTCTTCCTCCATCCACCTTTCTGTCTCTATTAAGAGCTCTTTGCATCATTCCTCCTTCCTGTTTCTTCTTCTCTCTTTGTTTAATGTCGTTCCACTTTTCTTTCTAAAGTTCTCAAATGTGATTATGTCAGGTCTTTCTTCATCCTCCCTTCTTTCCTTCCTTCTTCCCTCACTCCTTCCCTTCTTCCATCGCCTCCATCTTACCAACAACCTCCTCCCGTTGTCATCTTCTTCTTCACCTCCTCATCCTTTTTGCTCTCTTCTCACCACGTTTTCTTCCAAACTCTGTGTTCTGTGTGTTTTCTAGCGGTGTGATGAATGTCCATCTGTGATTGGCTGATGCCCCCCATCGCCGTGGCGCCCGCGAGGTCGTAAACAACAACCCGTCTCCCCCGGCAACGTGGCGTCTCCATGGACGCAGGGCGGCTAAGACGACCGACTCTGCGTGTGTGTGTGTGAGAGTGTGGCTGAGGCGGAATGCAACATCCGACGACTGCCAAGTGTGTGTGTTGTATGTACTGTGCGTGTGTGTATGTGTGTGTGTGTGTGTGTGTGTCTAATGAGCGATCATAAGTGAGCAAATGTTTTCTCTGGGTTCCACTAATGTTCCGACAAACACACACATTTCGGCGCACACACACACACACACACACACACATACCTGATATGTGTGTGTGTGTGTGGGTGTGTGTGTGTGTGTGTGTGTGTGTGTGTCATTAGTATGCCACAGTGAGCTGTGTCCATATGTCACTAAACACAACCATGTTTTATTTATCCTGGAAAGAGAGAGAGAGAGAGAGAGAGAGAGAGAGATAGAGAGAGAGAGGAGGAGGCCAACAGTCACTGTCAAGGGGACAGAGAGAAGGATGGAGGGAAGGAAAGAAGGAGGGAGGGAGGGGGAGGAAAAAGAAAATTGTTTAAAAAGAGATTTGAAGGTAAGAGCAAGGTGAGAGGAACAATAATGGTTGAGGGAGAAATGTGGGGAGATGGAAGAGGAAGGGAGGGATGAAGAAGAGGAAGTTTGAAGAGGGAGAGGTGAGGATGAGGAAGAAACAGGGCAGGAAGGAGGGAAATGAGGGAAAGGAAGGATGGAAGGAGGCAATGAAGGAGACAAAAAGGAAACCAGAGAAGAGAGGGCAACGTGGCAGGTGTGAAGTAAAAGAGAGGGAAGAAGAGAAAACAGGAGGAAGGAGAGAGATTAGAGGAAGGTAAGGACGGAGGCAAGGAACATGAAAAAGGGTAGAAGGGGGAGGTAAGGAAGGAAGGAGGGAGGGTCAGACAAAATAAAAAGGAGGGAAGAGGAGGAGAGGAAATTAGAGGGGAGAGTGGGAGGTGAGATGTTACAAATGAATGAGGGCAGGAAGTGAAAAAAGGAGGGCAAGAATGAAAGATAGGAAGCAGGAACAAAAGGTTACAAAGGATGGAGGAGGGATTAAGGAGACAAGAAAGGAGGCGAGGGAGATGAAAAGGGCAGAGGAAGGAAAGAAGGGAGGTGAGTCAAGGAAGCAAGAGGAATGGAAAGGAGGGAGGAAGTTAAAAGTAGGGAAGAAGAGGGAATAAAGGAAAGGAAGTAAAGGGCACATGGACAAAAATAAAGAAGAAAATGAAAAAGGAGGGAAGGAAAGAAAGACAGACGGAAGGAAGGGAGGAAAAGAAAAATAATTAGGAAAAATAGGAAGAGAGATGAGTCGAAGAAGAAGGAAAGACAAGGAGGAGGAAGAGGGAAGGGAGGGAGGGATGGAGAAGAGAAGCTAGGAAAGTAGGAAGTGAAAAAAGGAGGAGAGGAAGTAGAAAAGTAGGATTCACAAAGGATAGAGGGAGAAATAAAGGAGAGAACGAGGTAAGAAAAGGAAGGAAGGGAGATGAGTCGAGAAAGAAGGGAGGGAGGGATGGACAGATGGAGGAGTGGGACCCCAGAGACGTGTCATTCATCACACCACCATGCAGTCTGCACTCATTCGCCCTCTCTCTCTCTGCAGGTCTTTTTCTCTTCTTCTTCTTACATTAACATCTTTCTCTCTTTCCTGTCATTCGTTCATTCTCTTTCCGTTTCCTCTTTCCTTCCCTCCATCCTCTCGTTTGTTGTCAACTCCCCAACAATCTGTCTTTCTCCCCCTTTTTCTCTCTCTGGCACTCGTTTTTAGGTTTCATCATCTCCTCTGGCGACATCCCTCCTTCCTTCTCTCCATTTTATCTCTCTCTCTCTCCCCCCCTCTCTCTCTCTCTCTCTCTCTAACAGACTTTTCTTTCCATCCATTTACACTTTTGGTGCAGAAAAGCTCTTTCTTCATCTTCTTCCGTTTCTTCCACTCACGGATCAGAGAGAAATGGGAGGGATGGAGAGAAGAGGATGATGTACATCTCAGAGTCCAGCTCTCAGCTTATTAAACAACAACAACACAGTTGTAGAAATGCACGTTTTACTGAAAATAGATCCGACGTGCAACTGCTCACAACACGGTCTGTGGGTTATCTTGAGTAACCGGGTCTCTGCTGAGAGCTTCTCTAATGTCGAGTAACGTATCGTCCCGTGATGTTGGCGAGAAGCCAGACGTCTACGGACGATATCTCCAAAACGATCCAACTCTGGATCAACAAACAGCACAACAAGTAAGAGGAGAGACGTGTATGTGTGTGAACTGTCCCTTTAAAAAACAGCGATTCGGATCAGTAAAAGTTAAAGCGTTACCTCGGTTAAACAAAACGAGAGTTGAAGGAATAAAACGAGGAAGCAAAGAAATAAAAACCATCATTCATCATCCATCACACACACACACACACTCACTCACACACACTCACACTCTGTCTGTCTCTTACCGGTGTGTGACAGCAGGTTGGGGGACAGCAGGCCGGGGAGGCCCGGGTGCAGCAGCCTGGGGCTTTCCTGGATCCCTGCACCAGAACAACGCTTCGGAGGACGGCCCGGACGAGAGCTGGAGGGAGGAGGGGGGGAGAGGGGGGGAGACAGAGATTAATCACTACGACACAGAATTAGGTCCACAGCCTCCAGGACGGAGAGGTCTGTAGAACATGTGATGGTCCACAATCATGTCCTACTACAATTTAGATCTATGATGTTGCTCTATTAATGTAGACAACACTGAGTTATTAATCACATTTTATATTATTCTGCTGTACTTTTTATAACCCTCATTATTATGATGTTACTTTTTCTATGCATCTGTATTATTACAGATGAATGCAGCGGCTGGATTTCCCCTCTGGGTACTTTAGATCTACAGTCAAATAACGTCAAAGTACCAATGTGTTAGTTTAACGGTAGAAATATTCAACATGTCGGGTGCACTGCTGGTCGGCTGACAGCTGGATGCTGCAGCAGGTCGCTCGCACGCAATCAAATCACCGACTGACGCCACGCGGCGCACAGCTTCACTTCCACACCGGAGGACCGACGGCACACCTGACTCCAGGAAAGCTCAACACACACTCCGGCTGGAGACGGAGGGATCTCTTCACACCTCGGACTAACAACAACCGGCACACACAGCGGGAGTCAACACGTCCTGAAACACGCCGACTAAGATGAGATGAGAGGATCTTTATCCGCTTGTTCCGCCTCTCAACGGAGGAAGAATCCTGATGCAAGATATGGAAACTAATATCTGATTTGTGAGGAATTTGTGACATGAAATGTGATTAAAACTAAGAACTCTGATCTTAAATTAACACCAGATCAGTGAGTATCCAAATGCTTTTGATAATAACCTGAACGTTTATTAATATTCAGGATAAAAAGCCATTTAACAAACAGGGCTTGAGCTACATTCTGGGGATTTGGAGGTTTCTGGGGGATTCTACATTGAAAAGGCTTTTAGCCTGTTTCCAGTATTTTGTCTTTTGCAAAATTTGACGACTTTTAGGCCAAATAAATCAGTGATTCTGTATTGTTTTTTCCCCATGATTTTATTCCTGGCAGTGTGGAGAGCGCTTTGAAACAGACCTCAATGTTGGAACAGTGAACAGTAACGCTTTATTTTACAGACGTTTGTATAATACACCAACAACTTCAAAGAAAGTTTCCTCAAAATAATCAAATTATTTGGAATTAACTGTAGGAGATGATCTTAGAAGATGGTGCAACAGGTACTACAATAAATACAGTATTTAAAAAAAAAAATAACAGTATTGCTTTTGAATTATTTGACATTTCTTTTTTGTAATGAATTTAATAAAAAATATTTGGGGTATTTGGAGGAGACTTCTCCAAACATAAATATTTCAAAAATCCTGGCTACAGCCTTGTTAACAGTATTTACAGCTTGAAAGCTTTTATTGTGAAGAAGCCACAGGCAGGAAACCGAACAACACAAACAATCAACATAACATAATGTGCATCAATAGACTTTACTTTAATGTGTATCAATATACTTTACTTTACCAAATGATGGATTTGAACGAGAGGAGACAGAAAAAGGAGGCATTAGCGTTGACTGGGGCTAAATATGCTAACACTGATGTAAAACAGTGTCTCACACACAAACACACACACAAACATGCACAATAATGCATGTTCTACATGAGCATGAGAGGCTGAATACACATCTACAACACAAGTATCCCTCTCTGTTTCTGTCACACACACACTCTGCTGTATTATGCATGTGCACGTAGGCATAAATAAACACAAGAATACAGTAACTGCACACATGCCACTAAACATAAAGGAAGGCGCACACACACACACACACACACACACACACACACACACACACACACACACACACACACACACACACACAGGAGGTGTGCATGCAGGCCAACTCTCTGCAGGGTGGCTAAGTAACAGATGGCCGTCCAAAGTCATTTACACCTAGAGCGTGTGAGAGAGAGAGAGGGGAGCAGAAAACTCAAACCTGCACTTCACCACAGTGTCACCGGATGAAAATAGAATAGAAAAGACCAGAAGAGAGCCTTAATATAAAGAACGGCACATTAAACACAAGAGTATGGAACTGAAATACACTATAGCAAAGTTTTCAAAACCAAAAACACAACGACAAAACTGCAACGAATAGATTAATCTTTTTACACAAACCGCTAACGTTAGCATGTCCAGCTTACTTCCTATGGCGTTCATGCACGCGCTCACGTACAAGCTTACATGCTGACCATATGTGTTTTCATCGGGACCGGAGATTATTACGGTAGTTCATTATCTATTCATAACACCATGGACAACGCCTCAGCGGACACAGTTTATTTGAAAACGGTGAAATGACACTGGAGAACACAAAACACAAGTAATGTATCTTTGTAATATACTTATTGATTGTCAAACAACAACAAAAAAGGCAACTGTTGTTATGATCTCCACCGTGTACGGACGAAAATGTGCTTCTTTAGAAAAGGAAGGATTTATCCTTCTGGAGCTCTTACGAAAAGAACAATTTTCGCTTTGGCAAGACAGCTAACTGTTAGCGTACTAGCATTGGGTACATTTTGAGTAAATCTGCCATCGTTTAATAATAATAAATTGAGTTGTTCAAGTTTTCATAAGGCGCAACCTCCGGTTCTGTAGAGTGGATCCAAAGCTTCATGTGTTAAAGCTGCATTCTCTCTA